AACCATACACCCAGTATGGTATCGCGATTCGCGATTTTGCGCTATCATACTGGGTGTATGGTCGGCTGTGTGCGATTTTGCGAGTGTGGTAAAATCGCATAACAACAAAATCGCATAACAGCCGAGCATACACCCAGCAGCGCTGCTGATGCCTGAACGGTATGTGGAATGAAGTGGGCGAGCATCGGGAGGCTACTATGGCACGGGGCAAGCACTATGGGCAGTCTATCTGAAGTGTACCTGGCGTATAAGACGACCCCCCACTTGGAGGCATATTTTTCAGGGCCAAAAAATCGTCTTATACGCCGGCAAATACGGTACTCATTTACTGATGGACACTTGAGGTCCTTCCGAATCTTGGCTATTGTAAATAATGCTGCAATGAACATAGGAGTGGGTGCACATATTCTTTTTCTTTTTTTAAATATGTTTTCATTGATTTTAGAGAGAGGAAGGGAGAGAAATAGAAGGACAAAGAGAAATATCTCTCGGCTGCCTCCTGCACGCCCCCTACTGGAGCACCCGAAGCATGTACCCTGACTGGAATTGATCTGGTGCCCTCTTGGTTCATGGGTCAGTGCTCAACCACTGAGCCACACCGGCCTGACTGCACATATTCTTTCAAATTAGTGTTTTGGGTTTCTTTGGGTATATTCCCAGAAGCAGACTCACTGGGCCATAAGGCAGTTCCATTTTTAATTTTTTGAGGTATCTCCATACTGCTTTTCACAGTGGCTGCACCAGTCTGCATTCCCACCTACAGTGCACGAGAAGGGTTCCCCTTTATCCACATCCTCCTGGAGTGGAGTAGAGATGAGGTCCAGCGTGAAAGATCTGATGCCCAGGGTGAGAACTGGACCTTCCATGAGGGTGATGGTGCCTGGGCACAGTCCCTACTACTGTAAAATGGTCTCTGTAACAGCTAGGCCCAGAGGGCCTGGGAGAGGTCAGGGCAAAGTCCAACACACTTGTTACAGAGACCACTGCGCAATAGTATGAACTGTGCAGATTTAACAGCTATGTGTTCTAGGATGTGAATAGACAATTGCTAGTAGAATAGATTGTTTTATTGGAGTGACTGGTAATTGCTCCAAATCACTAATTAAATGGGCAAGAGCAATTGAACCCATGTTACAGGGCCACGAGGGAAGACCATAAAGGCAAGGAATGAAAACGGCAGACAGTGTTGAAGAACTTGATCTTGCCTGGGGTGTTTGGGAAGCAAATCTCCCAAAGGGAGGAGAGACTTCCTGTTCCTCCCTACCCCATCACGCATCTGGCCTCCAAGTCTTGTTGATTCTGCGTTCAAAACATTTACTCCAACCCTAGCTGGTTTGAAAGCTCAGTGGTCAGGGCTTAGGCAACCAATCAATGTGTTTCTCTCACGTCGATATTTCTCTCTGTCTTTCTCTCTTTCTTCCACTCTCCCTGAAAATCAATGGATAAATATCCTTGGGTGAGGATTAACAACAACAACAATAAAATATATGCATTTATTCCAGCAAGAAGAAATCTCTGTTCATAAATTCACCTGAATATATAATTAAAGTTTTCTATAACTCAACTTAATTTCTATTTTGAACTCCCATTCTGCTGAAGTGGCAGAAACCTGATCTCAACTAATTGAGGGTTTTACCCCTTCTCTGGGGTTATATTTAAGGCCCTGAGCTCTAGTAGTTTGGTTCTTGGGTGCGTGTGCGCGCGCGCGTGCGTGCGTGCGTGCGTGCGTGTGTGTGTGTGTGTGTGTGTGTTGGAGGATCGAGTTTTCAAGGTCTTCCATACACACAGGCATTCATAGAGATACCTTTGGTTCCCACTGGTTACTGGCAATACCTGGCTGTTCTCAATATCTGCTAGAGACCATAGCTCTCTCCCTGCCTTATGCCACTCTGGCCTGTGGGAATCTTGCTGAGATTACCTAAGGTCCTTTGTGCCTGGATGTATCTCAGAGACATCTCCACACTGGATTTTGCTGCTCCCCATGGCAGCATTCCAATCTCTTGGATTCTTTGCTCCTTCCTCGGGCCCCTCTCTGCTCTCATCACTTCCCTCCATCTACCTTCTCTTCCTTCCTTTTCACCAGACCCCTGAAGCCCTCATTTTGGGGTTTCTGGTGGACCCAAATAGATGGCACTGTCTTTCTGACTAAGGTTCTAAGCATACTGGAAGATGAAGCCAAGTATAGGCAGGCAGAGTCTGGATTATTCCCTTATTACTGACAAAGACCAAGCATTTGCTTATTGTGGGCTTATACTAGTATATTACTGAGCCCCTGAGTTCGGCAGACTCCCCCACACTCCCTGTGATGGCAGTGCTTGACTGGTAGGCCTCCCTCCCAGAGCCCCTGGAGGGGCAGTGAATTTGTACCCCTGCAGGCAGGCATATCCTAAGAGAAGAAGAGCAGAGCTGAGCGGAGCCTGTACCATATTCTCCCCAAATACACTGATCAGATGAGTTACTCTCTCCCAAGTGCAGAAGTATCTTACCAGTGGCACCTCTTCATCTGGACCAGTTCTCCCTATTCTCTTGCTCACGAAGTTTCTTGCAACTTTTTGCCTGTCTGAGATTTCACTCCTTTCCCCTAAGTCTTTTTGAAACCAATACAGAAGTACTTAAATCTTTTCTTTTCTTTTTTTTAAATATATTTTTTTTGATTTTTTACAGAGAGGAAGGGAGAGGGATAGAGTTAGAAACATCGATGAGAGAGAAACATCAATCAGCTGCCTCCTGCACACCTCCTACTGGGGATGTG